TCATAAAACAAGGCCTGCCTCTACGACAAAGGAAGATGGTAGAAGCGGCATACATACACTCAACTAACAACTTCAACACCGCAACGGGGAGCCACGAACTAGCCAAGCACGTCGCTCACCTGATCACCGACGTGACCTGACCGCCAAGTACATGTATATATACTTCTATGTATCTCTTGTTCTGTATGCCCTGATGAAGCAGTAAATGCGAAAAGGCCTTCGACATATTCGTGTGTTTTCCTATTGTTTTCATTGTTCTACTTGCAATTTATATATATATATACATATATATATATATATATATATATATATATATATATATATATATATATATATATATATGTATGTATGTATATATAAATATGTGTGTGTGTATGTATGTATATATGTGTACACACACGTCAGTAAATTTATTCTAGATCTACTTCCTTTCGAGTGGACATAAATGTGAGCTAAGTTCCATGCTAAACATTCGTCATTGCCAAACGGTCGTTTCCAGCGCGTGTCCAGGCAGCAGCCGCCTTTCCCCTAAGGAGATCTCTCGCCTTGTTTCACCCGAGAAGCAGCCAACTCAGCCACAAAGACAGCAAAGGCCAAGAGAATGCCTGCAAGTGGGAGCACCGCATGACTTATGTACAATAATGTATATTCCATTTGTTCTCTGAGTTGTCTCCCTGTCTTCACTATTGTTTTGTCATTATTTATATTAATAGCATTCTCGTTCTCAGCATTGAGATCAACATAGTCCGGCTACAATAAACGACCCTGTGGACAGCGGGAACTAATTTTAGGTTTGGATTACTATCAGTGGTTCATTTTAAGGGATTTCCATTGGTAATATATTTTTATCCAGTGGATTAGACGCCTGAAAAATAATTTAATCAAATTTTGTTTACATTATTTTTTTCCTGCTTGGGTTAATCATTTCCGCATGTAAACCAGCGGAACAAGTGCTTTTAATCTAAATATTATTACAGTAAATTAATTAACATGTAATAAAGTTGGTGGAATGTAGAATTTGAATTGTTATAACATATTAACAAAGCATCACCTTGCTCTACATAAGAGATAACATGTGATTAGAAATGAAATTCAACATACTAGTAATACTGCTAATATTTTTTTCTTATTTATACGTGTGTTTTCCTATTGTTTTCATTGTTCTACTTGTAATTTATATATATATATATATATATATATATATATATATATATATATATATATATATATATATATATATATATATATATATATTTATATATATATACATATATATATATATATATATATATATATATATATATATATATATATATATATATATATATATATATTACATAAATATATATATATATATATATATATATATATATATATATATACATATATATATATATATATATATATATATATATATATATATATATATATATATATATATATATATGTATATATATATATATATATACATATATATATATATATATATATATATATATATATATATGTATATATATATATATATATACATATATATCTATATATCTATATATATATATATATATATATATATATATATATATATATATATATATATATATATATATATATATATGAATATATATATATATATATATACGCCACACTTCCGAAGAACCTGTCAATATTATGTAACATCTGTTCTTGTGACTTTGCTATAGGATATATAAAGCATATGGGAATGATTAGTATTAGAACCTAGATTTTTAACCAACATTACGTAAATTCAGAGCTTTCCTTCGTCTAGCATTTATCAAATCAAAGGCCTTAATGAAAGCAATGTTGTCGGAGATCCGGAGGACTTCATATGGAATCACTGGGGCGACTCAAGATTAAGCTACCTAAAGAGTTCTCTGCCAAAAGCCTCCAAGACAAAGGAATATTCCCAATCATTTGTCCTGCTGATAACCGTATTCACAACAGTAGTAAAAGGACTAAAGCTGTCTGGTGAAGCGGTGAAGGCAACCCGAACTACACAGGACGTTTCATCCTCTGGGAACAGGAAGTTGGCTGAGATGCAAGTATAGTTCTTTCAACAAAGGCTTCGTTAATTTCAAATCTGTTTGTACTTTTAGAACGACAGTGAAATATCGGATTCACACACGCACACACATATCTATCAATCTATCTATATGTGTGTGTCTGTATAATATATATATATATATATATGTGTGTGTGTGTGTGTGTGTGTATGTGTGTGTGTGTGTGTGTATGTGTGTCTGTATAATATATACATATGTATATATATATATATATATATATATATATATATTATATATATATACATATATATATATATATAGCACACACACATACACATACACACACACACACACACACACACACACACACACACACACACACACACACACACACACACACACACACACATAGACGAAATGTTGTTCTAGATTAATGATGCCCTAATAGAAATTTCTTTTTATCCTAAACAGCAGTGACTTGGGGACAGTGACGTACAGTTTGTATCATAACATGCTAAAGGAAAGTCTCTTCCTCCTTACAACCATTTTTATCGCAGCAAAGATGATCCTTGTTTATGAGGAATTCCTTTGCGGACAGGCCTGCAGAACTGGTCTTTGGATTGGCTCGTTTGATGGCATATCATCATATACTACCCAAGTTCTGAATGCCTATAACATTCTCCAACAGAGAAATGATAATCCCTGATTACCAATATTCGTAATAATCTACCTGCTATATGAACATAGTCCTTATTCTTTAGATCTTATTCATCCCACGTGCAAGACTCACCTCCCAAATAGACACAGAAAATGCCATAGAAGTCGATAAGGTCAAATGACCGCAGTGAATTGGACGACGCCTGTTTGAGGCACTCCCTTAGGTTTTGCACGCCGTCCTCATAGAGCTTGTTCAAGATGCCAAACTCTTGCAAGTTATAGAGGCTGTGGAAGTCATATTTTGATGTATAATGATATATTTGTATGTAAATGTGATTAAGTGCGCTGTCATTCATTAGCAATAAAATACATACATAAGTAGATAATGTGATAATGATTAGGTCGTCAATTATATAGCTTCATCTTGATAGACCAAAGTAAGATTATAATGGTAAAAAGTGAAATAAGCAGTGATAAGCGTACATGGGGTCAATCTTCTTCTTCAGAGGAGAGCCCTTGGGGAAAGCGAGGCTGAGGCTCGTTGCGCCGAAGAAGGTTTCAGAAGCATAGTACAGAGGGCAGGATTGTGTCTAAAAGGAAAGTTTGTCATTAGCCATGTTAATATGCAAATTTGAATGATTCTTCAAGAAGAAACACTTCAATATGAATGACTTACAACAGAAACTTACACGCGAGAAAGTCAGATGAATGACAAAGTTTAGTATATGTTCACTGCTGAAGACGGCGAACTGTCCGTCCATGATACCCTGTACCACCCTCTCAACGTTATTTGAGACACGAAGTTGCTTGTGCAATTTGTGCAATTGCGATCCGGGTGGAGCACTCTGGTAAGAAAGAACAAATCCCATTCAAATACCGATATGCTTGTTGTGAATAGAGTGTGTCGTCATTGGGAATAATTAGGCAAACTTATTAAAGCTATCAAGAAGAGAACACAGCAGAGGCTCGTCTGCACCAGAATGATATGCAAAAGGGCGCTCCCAGCAGGAACAAAGCAGGGGATGTCCGTCTGTGTGAGCTCGTGCAGGTTGTCAAAGGGCAAGCGCAGCTTCGGCAGGATCAGCATGGCCTTCAGGTTGGAGCGGTAGACTGAGCCGACGATGAGCGCCGCCAGAAGCCACATACCCCACAGGACGCGCACCGACGTGCCGCTGGGAACCAGCACCATTGCTGAGAAGGACAAGACAATGGCTTTATCTCTGGTAGGTAGATGAAGGAATCTTCAGATGATCTCTACATTGCAGCCGTGACATTTGGTATATTTATTCTCAGCGATTTCTGTAATATGTTGCACTACATTATAATGGTATAAATGTTCCATTATCATTATCATTAAAACTATTATAATTTTTGTTCTTATTATAATCATTATTATTGTTACTACTATTATAGTTATTGCTATTGCTATTGTTATTATCATTATTATTATTATTATCATCATCATTATCATTATCATCATCAACATCATTATTACTATTATCATTATCATTAATATTATCATTATTATTGCTTTTGTTATTATGCTTATTATTGTTCTTATTGTTATTATGCTTATTATTGTTCTTATTGTTATTATGCTTATTATTGTTCTTATTGTTATTATGCTTAATATTGTTCTTATTGTTATTATGCTTATTATTGTTCTTATTGTTATTATTATCATCATTTTAATTTTACTTACCTTTATTAATAGTACCATTACTATTATAGCTATTATTATTATCATTATTGTTATCACTACATTATTATTATTATTATTATTATTATTATTATTATCATTATTATCATTATCATTATCATTATCATTATCATTATCATTATCATTATCATTATCATTATCATTATCATTATCATTATCATTGTCATTATCATTATTATTATTATTATTATTATCATTATTAATATTATTATAATTATTATTATTATTATTATTATTATTATCATTATCATTATTATTATCATCATCATCATCATCATTATTGTCATTATTGTCATTATTGCATACTCACACTGTGCAAGTGCAGATCCCAGAATCCATTGGCAAGATTGCCAGACAGTGCCAGAATTACCGATCGGTTCCACATTCCTTGATGGAAAAAGTATTAGTTTTAAAATGGCATATGTTCTACTCTTCTACAGTCATACATGAAAATAAGTTACGCAAAAAATTTACTCAAACTGCAAGAGCTGAGTAAGAGTTGCGGACACTAGATGGCATTTCTGACTGCGTGCAATTCCCCTCACCGGCGTCCTCTTGTGGCTCTGGTGTGGATGGATTGCACGAGGAAAAGGCCGGTGATC